CAAGCAGAAATGGCGACGGGATTGCAGATAGTATTGCGATTCGCGCGACGGACCGCGGACTCTGGCACCACCTAATCGGGCTTTTTGTGCACGTGTGCTGTTCGGTGTTTTGCGTGAAATATTTCCGCTGCTTGTATAGCTTCCATTTATCCGAACTTGTCAACTTGGTTTCATGCTGAAGTAGTCTAACGAATTGTGTTGCAGATACGGTGACGTAATTCGACCTGGCGATGAGATTCTCTCCATCAATAATGTCGAGGTCTCGTCCATGTCCATAGACGATGTCGTGCTTATACTGAGTATTCCGCGAAGGCTTTTGCTGCGGATACGGTAACTATGTTTCCGAAACCTTTTTGGGATATTTTTATATCAATCTTAATAAAGCCAGTGATTTGAGGATAAAAGGTGCAAGTAGTGGTTGAAAAATCAATTCCTCCTGTTCCTTCTTGCTTTAACTTCAGTTTCTGCTTTTGAAGATATGTGAAACACCGTCGAGATCAGCAAGCAACCACGAAGTCATCCGAGCGTCCAGTTGTCGTCTTTCATAAGGTATATTAGTCACTCCTCCTTTACTTCTTGCGCGTCTCGGTTACTTTTTAACGTTGTCTTGTTGTTTTTATTATTCTTTTACAAGTCTGAAAATCTGACAAATTGTTTTTCTGTAATTTTCGCCAAGCGCGGTGGAGGTTTTTCTTGGAAACTCAGATTTCACGGGAAAGGCTTGTGGTGTTTGATTGCATGAGCATGCAGAGATGTCAGAAATACGATATCATGAGTGCCCAATGGTTGTTTTCTCAATGATACACGAGAACACCTTTGAAATATTGACATAAAGCAGAGAAGTTATTTTTTTCATGAGCGCATAGGGGAGTTATGAATAATTTCCGTGTTCGCTACACCGTCATTAGCTCATTTCCCACTTCTGCAAAATCTGTAGATAAATTAAATTGGCAGCTAACGTGAAGTAAATCTCAGCTTATTGTCCCCAAGCGGAGCCTTTTCCGTTTAGTTATGGTATCTCTCGTGACATGAATGTTGTGTAGTGTAATGCAAATTTTGCTCCACCGTTTTGGCTGGTTATTAATAAGTTGATTGTGGCATTTTGCTCTCATTATTGTAGTTTTCATCTTCGCCTCCTCTGCAGGCGGTCGGCGTTGCGACACTAGTGGGCGAACAGCTCACTATTGGACGAGGTCTGAGGTCACTTCTAAGTTCACTTGCTTTACAATTGTATGTATGCTGCTACGTACGAGAAGCGGAAACAACTAGAACGGCGATTCAGAGTGTATGCCGAATTGCAGTTTGCGAATTCTGGCACATAGCAAACGAGTGCGCCAAATAAAATTGTACGCAGCTACACTATCCCATGATGGTTAGAGTAAGCCTCTACGCCGTCGATTGAGATTTTGCAGAGCTGCAGTGGAAAGAAGGAAACAGTGAGATGCAAATGTTCTCTGATTATTCACGTCTGTGCAAAACCATACAGTAATCACTCATTTGACGTAATGTTGCGTATCTTTACCAGCCACATCCAATCAAATGTTGTGGCTTGGCCTATCGATTATACCGTTAACGCCTTGATTCTTACTGAAGAAATGAAAAAAACAACGAAAAATAAAAAATTTAGCATGAATAGAGTTTGGTGTTTACTTATTACCCATTTTTGGCGGCATGCTTGCGTTGTGATTTTGATGCGGTGGGGTGTGGCCTGGCGCCAGAATCGTGGTTCCACTTGCGCGTCTGCGGTCGCATAGGGTGCGCAAATTTTGGTAGCTGCCCAAGAGAGGACTTGAAACGATTTTAACATACTGACGGCTGTGTGTCTCACTTCGTAGGCCACGTGGGTACTGGGACGGCATGATTGCACGTATCACTTGTAGTTCATTTTCTCGCGCTTACCAGACCACGCTGAGTTATTAATATCTTATGCTAATAGTATCACATCCTGCGAACTCTAAAACGACGACATGCGTTTGATCAGGATGAGTCAAGTATGCTTAAAGTTAAGCAAGAGCGCGGAATTCCAAAGTATTCCAGAGCTATCTAAGCTCATCATCAAATATCTAATCGGCCTATAACTGAACAACTGGACAATGTACGATGCTCCTAGCAAATGAGTCTCACTGAATACTTCCAGGTGACATTCACATGGCAATCAATCCAAGGCATCTCAGAAGAAACGTGGAATACAACGTGCACTATAATAAGAGACTATCACGTATTACGGGTAGCGTCATGCGCCGTTTTCGTGATACAGAGAGAGTGTGGAAGAAGAAAAGAAATATCTTATAGAACGGTTACTATCTCCACTTCGTGGAAGCGGTATTACTCACACTTTGTCACATTCAAATCGTGTGATTCTCAATTGAATATTGAAGAGTACATTCCACTCTATCACAGAGTTTCATGAGAGCCTCCTACCCCGATGATATCAGAAGATTTTTCCTTCCCAATCATGGGTGCACAGTATTAACTCAATGAAGTCGTTGACTGATCGGGGACCATCACGACGTCTCTAGAAACCTATCCACCAGCTAATCGAATGAAGGAATTATGTGGCAGCTTCGTGCGTGGAGCGATTACGATATGCCTTCTAGAGCTCGACGATGACGACAGATGACGTCGTATTTTGAAGACGGTGAGGGCAGTGAAAGGTGCCTGCTTTGCTCATGTAGGGACGTTCGAGGAATATTATTTTGTAATACTTCTCTCAAACAAGGGGGACAGTGGTGTAGTGGCAAGTGGCACGCTTACCACGCGAGCGGTCCGGGATCAAATCCTGGGTCGTGAGTCGCCCGGGCCAACCAAGCCTTCCATCCCTCCGGGGTCGGTTAATTGGTACCAGACTTGTCTGGGAGGATAAAAACACTGACTTGTACATCGGCTGGCCCCGCAAGTCATTGTATAGGCCACATCGCATTCAAACGCCACTACGAATGTACAAATGGAAGTAGAATGCGTGCCGCATCCCAAAAGGATTGATCAACGGCAAATGCTTTATCCTTTTATCTTTCAATACTTTCCTCAACAGCGGCATCCTTTGCGACGAAAAGTTGGGTGATAAGCCAAAGGCAAAGTGAGCTTTTTGCCGCCCCCTGAATTCAGATGGCTAACCTAACAAGGAGGTCTTTCAGGGCAAGCCGCGCTTTTTCAAAACGGTTTTTGCATATTGTAGGGACGCATGTAGGGAACACAAAACCATGTTTCATTTTCGCTGAACGGTTTTAGCAGTACCAAAAAGAAGCATAAGGTACTGTTAATGGTTCGATCCCCCGTGGCGACTAAATTTTGCATTTGGGTTGGCGCCTACGGTTGGTGCCAAATCGCGCTAAATGTCAAAATCAGATGTCATATTCATCGTCAGGACCATTTTGAAGCCAACAAGTGGCCGCCAACCTTGATTGCAAAATTTAGTCGCCGCGGGGATCGAACCATCAAGGGTATCATTCACCACTTTTTTGGTACTACTAAAACCGTTCAGCGAAAACGAAACATGGTTTTGTGGTCCATACATGCGTCCCTACAATATGCAAGAAACCGTTTCCAAAAAGCGCGGCTTGCCCTGAAAGACCTCCCTTGTAAGTAACCTGTACTTCGGTTAATAAAATAATTTCGTAGAAAATCTTCACGGGTTTCGAGTGAAGTCTAATACTGTCCCGGCCAGCGTTATTGGCTGAATTTTTTCTTAAGTTTCGTTTTGAATTGCTGAATAATTTTGATGATTCAGTTCGAGGAACGCTCCGACGAGTCTGCAAGTGGTTCGATTCTCACGCAGCCTACACCAACTGCTCATACATGGCTGGGTAAGAAGGCACGGCAACAGCAACAGGTACGCGGGAGGGAGCGCTCCTCACAATGTTTCACATTACATTCTGAAGTTTTGCGTTCTTGCTCAAGACATCTGAAGAAGTGTGTAATCTTCATGTTTTTCGTCCACTTATCTAAGATTCACAAGTAGTTCCTTCTCAAATTCACAAAGTAGTCACTTCCGAAGCTCACAATAAAACACTACTTTTGTTCCCTGTTTTATTGCCTATAATTTCTCACAACAATTTTTGGTCAGTATCAGCGTCATTTTACTACCGTTTGCCCCGCACTCTACACTACACGTGAATTCAGTGATGTACTTGGTAAGCACGATTTTGTTGTGGCTCCCCACCCCTTACTCCCCACTGAAAAAACGCCGCCGATATGGAGGCTCCGATTCTTTTCCTTCGCAAGTTTCTAGTCTTTTTTTGAATAGCTGGGCAGTTTTTGCAAGCATCGCGAATTCTTTGCACACTTCGTTCTCGCTCCCACCCATTGGTAGCGGGTGGCTTTCTCTTCTTTGCCAACTTCTGTCCACTTTTTCCAGGTCTCTGGGACTTTTTGGAACCACATTATGAGTATTTGTAGAAAATGCCGCGCTAAGGGCAAGCCCCACCTATAGTGAGTAGGTCTCAGCTCACTTCAATTGTGTCAAGCTCTTTTTAAACATTGCTCTTCTAAAGTATTCTATTTGGTGCTCCAAATCTTCTTCTTTGGACTCCCTCGTAACCGCCTTGTGAACTTTTTGTCAAAGGCCGGTTTTTTAGAGAATGGAGATGGATCTCCTTAATTCGACCTGGTAATTCTATTCTTACATCTAGCCATTTTCTTACCCGTATTTAGGCTCTTTTAGAATCAAACTCGACATTTTTGCTGTTGACATTGCCCGTTCTGGTGCATGCTCATCGTGGGCGGCGCTTCGCTTCGCTGATTTGTTTTTCGTTCTTAATTGCCCATGCCTCCTCGTCCATCCCAAATTTCACCAGGACTCTCCAGGTGGTGCTTTAAAAAGCACCAAATTTTGGACAGACACACATACGTACAGAAGCGACAACACTGGACGAGGTTGTTATTGAGCTCACCTAGTCTTCGCATCGCGTTTCTCTTGTCGAAGATGTTTTCGCAGTTTTTTAAAGCTTTAGCGTTTATGTTCTTCCTCATGTTATAGAGTGCACATTCCCAACTGGTCGAAAATATCTGTGAGTCCCAGCTGGTCAAAAATATCAGTGAGTCCAAAAGTGTTGAAGAGAAACTTTGACAAGCCGTTTCTGAAGGAGGAACTCATAGTGAGAGGTAGACCACCAGAGGATTACATTATATCCATGTAAAAATCTTGTACAGAGTGTCTTGACACATTGACGGCAACATAGCTCTATCGTCCGCACCTTGCAAGCCTCTGGAACAGCCTAGTAATAACGGTCCACACTCCTGTGGTTCATTTTTTTTCGATGCCCATGCGATATTTCTTTCTAGAATCTGTTACATTTATTTTGTTGATCTTATCTCAATATACACCAGATCATTTCTTTTGAGCGGTTTCCCCATGCCTCAAGAAATTTCCGGTTTGGTCCATTCTCAGGACTTATTTTTATTGCCATCAACAGGTGAATGAAAAGAGTGGCCTGAATGAATTACAAATTGTGGATGCCACGATTTGCTTTCCAGTGATACAATCTAGGCAAAATTGGATTTGTGTATACTACAGCTACATAGTACAGACAAATTCTCAATCACCGGTATATGTCTTTTTGATTGAAATGCTGTGGCATTATCCTAGGATAACTTCTGTGCATTGGCCATCGTTGTATTCATTTCGTGCTTTTCATTTTTTGAATTTTCCATAGAAAACCCATGAGGCATTGCTGAACAATATCGATTTTTTTCTTCATCGGATTTGTTTTTCTCCAGTTGCGATTCATTATTGTATACAAGATTATCCAGTATTTTATCTTTACTCACTCATTTAATTTCTTCTAACCACAGTTTTTCCTGGCTGATCGGAGAACAAGGAAACTCCGATATCTCACCAATTTCAAACATTTTATCCCTTCTACAAGAGTTTCTCCATGCAGTTTTTTGTCGTAGAATATTTTTTCTGTGTTATAACTTTCATAAGGTTCTATTAAATGAACCAAATTATTTTGCTAAGGGTTTCAAGCTTTAAAAAGTGCGTTTCGGGGAACGGCGTGGTCCAACTTAGGACTGAGGCGCGCAAAATCATGCTCGTCCCACGTGGCCAAAAAACCGAAAATGCACGGCAAAAAAGTCACTTTGCCGACGGCGCACACCAAACTTCGTCGCACAGGGTGTCACTGCTGATCAAAGTTTTACAGCAAAATATTCCTAATGTCCCCCATGAGCAGAAGCAGCCCTTCTTCACTGCCCTCACCGTCTCCAGAATTGACGTCATCTGTCATCACCGTCAAGCTCAAGGAGGCCTACCGTAATCGCTCCAGGCCTGAAGCTGCTACATAATTTCTTCAATCGGTTAAGCGGTGAATAGCTTCCCAGAGACACTAGCTGTGACTGTGCAAGACCGCTTTTGACCAGCGTTTCAGAGACGTCGTAATGGTCTATGGTACCTCGACGACCTCGTTGAGCTCGTACCGTGCAACATGTTTCCGTGGGAAAATCTTCTGATGTCGTCGGTGTAGAAGGCTGTTATGTAGTTTTTGATAGATTATAATGTGCTCTTCAATATTCAGTTGGGCTCATTCGGTTTGGGTTTCGGGCGTGCACGTTTTCTGACCTCCCCCCTCCACCCCTGGTACCATGAAGTGAAAGGGCACCGTTTTGTTATCTTCAGTAATGCACACCTGCCGGAAAGCATGAAATCGTGATTCAGTACGATCGTCATTGTGCGGATTTGTTCTTAGCTGACACTTTTGAGCTTATTCTGTCACAAACTGTCAGGAAAGCAGGCAAAACCAATCACGAGCATGTCCTTAGTTGTAGCAACTTGCAAACTATTCGAAAATCATCACAGCCATTGGAAACGAGAGCATTCTCGTCTATTGCATTTTCGGCGACCTTGTCTTGACTAGCCAGTTCTTTTTTTTTTTCAATAAAATGTGCGGTGTCCTATTTCTAAGGCAATGGCTACAAATTAGAGAATGGATGCTGCCAGGCTTGTACATGTTTCAAAAACAGTGTAGGCGTTGAGCAATGGACACCTTTTCAAAAAAGTTGGACAACGTAGGACACGGGGGGCGCGCAGAATTTAGAAAACGTGAATCAATGTAGAAATGACGTACAATGGTCTGTTATTACATCTCAGAGCACAATCACGAAGCCATGCCAGGTTCTGGTTAATACCTGTCTTGGTTTTTTATAGGAGCTGTAACTACTTGAGGTCCTCTTATGAACGGTGTAACTTACGTGTAATCAGGCGTGTCCACTGCTCAATTCCTCATCCAGCAAATAACATTGAGACTTAGTCCAGTATCTTTTACCTAGCGGCATAATTCTGTTGATCTTTTGTTGGAGCTAATTGGTTTTGTTCTCCAGAACAAACCATAAATTTTCAGTTTAGAAGTGGTCTGTTGTCCTCCCATTTGGTTTTCTAGAATTGAGTGGAATACTGGGCGTTCAGTCATAATGTTTGGTGAACTTAAAATCCAGCGTAATTTTTAAAGTTGAGTGCACTTCTCCTTTATATGGGTCACCATTGTGATATTCATCTTCTAGTTCCCTGGAAGCTTCGCCTTTTACCTTATATTGAAGCTCAAAATTGGTCTTGCCATTCAGAAGTGCTGGCTAACTGGAAGTGCTCAGTTTTCGTGTAATACCTTTTCCGATTATAGCTCATTCGATCTGCTTTGGATATCGCTCACCATTCATGCTCGTAATGCGTTTCGTTTGCACTTTATATGTTAATTTATTTAACTTAACTTGACTTTTTATTTATTTGTTAGTCTATTTATTTATTACTTACCATATTTGTCCCTCGGGAGCCGCCAGGACTTCCTGTTCTTGCGTAAGCTTTATGTCTTCTGTTGTGCTCCGTTCTACTTACGTTTGTGTGGAGGGTACGTATGCACAAAGAAAAGGCTCATATACAGGGGTGGCCAAAAAATGGCACTTAGCCCATGGCCACATCATCAAACTTTTCGTCGCACAAGGAGCCGGTGTTGATGAAACCTCGACGACCTCGTTGAGCTCGTACCGTGAACCATGTTTCCGTGGGAAAATCTTCTGATGTCGTCGGTGTAGAAGGCTGTCATGTAACTTTTAGATAGATTAGAATGTGCTCTTTAATACTGAGTTGGGGCAGTCGATTTGATTTTAGCAAAGTGTGATTAATGCTGTCTGAAATGTGGAGTGAAGTGTCTCTTTTTTGGCCACCCCTGTACAGTGGAGACCTCAGGTTGACGGCTGCTCTTACTGATTCCCTACTCCCTCTACTGCCACCGCAGCACCTTGTGGTGTGCTTAGTAATGGTTTGCTTAGTGAGTGTATTTTGTATGTTATAACAATCATGCCATTGCCAAACATTTGCAGCAAAAGTCGTGTGAGTAGTTTCCCTAGTTTGTTTATTACATTAGCTTCCTTACAACTTCATTTCGCGAAGGACAGACAGGCATCAGCAGACTCACGTACATACGAGCCGACACAGCAATATCTGCCTACATTTTCAGTTTTTCATGATAAATAAATTGCATACTATCCTCAATTACTTCCTATTAGTTATGTGAATTCTTTCTTGAAAAGTTACTGCTGTCACGTTGGAACTTGTGATGATCATGCCTAAGTTTTATTAACAGTACATTCCCTTTCAAAAAACGAGGAGAGCGTCGGGTGCAGACCATACACCACAAGTGACGACGGCCTCCAAGTAAATCTGGTTAGAAGTGGTTCATAGTGATAGCTGATTTTTGGTAAATGATAGTTGTAATTAGTGACAACTGATAGAATACAACTGCAACAGGCTAATCATTTCATTGGCAGAAAACATTTACATTTTGTGGAGGCCGTCGTCACTTGTGGTGTATGGT